ACCCAACTCATAGCGACCCCTCCTTGGGTTTCCGAGGCAGTATCACTATGGAAGTAGATTGCCCCATCTTCCTTCCGAGGAGTGGCTGGTGGGTTTGTACTGCCAGCCTTCCGGTTAGCACTTTTAGCTACTTTATATTCAAAAGCAAGTTTCAGAGTCTCTTCTGACATCCATTTTGGTCTTTTCTTCCTCTCCTGTCTTTTTAATGACCTTTTGGTTTCTTCATGGATGATGTTCTTGATGTCATCCCACAATTCCTCTGGTTTTCAGTCATTGGTGGTCAGTGCATCAAATCTATTCTTTAGATGGTCTCTAAATTGAGGAAGGATATGTTCAAGGTCATATTTTGGCTCTCGTGGACTTCTTTTAATGGTCTTCAGCTTCAAGTTGAACTTGCATATGAGCAGTTGATAGTCTGTTCCACAATCAGCTCCTGGCCTTGTTTTGGCTGAAGATACTGAGCTTCTCCGTTGCCTCTTGCCACAGATGTAGTCAGTCAGATTCCTATGTACTCCATCTGGCAAAATCCATGTTATAGTTGCCATTTTTGTTGTTGAAAAAAGTTATTTGCAGTGAATAAGCCGTGGGTCCTGCAAAATTCTATCATGTGATCTTCAGCGTTATTTCTGTCACCAAGGCCATATGTTCCAACTACTGGTGACTCTTCTTTGTTTCTCACTTTTGCATTGCGGTCACCAGTGACAATCACCACATCCTGAATTGCATGTTTAGTCAATTTCAAACTGCAGAAGTTGGTAAAAATCTTCAATTTCCTTTTCTTTGGTTTTGGTTGTTGGTGTGTAAATTTGAATAATAGTAGTAGTAACTGGCCTTCCTTGTAGGCATATGAATATTATCCTATCACTGACAGCATTATACTTTAGGATAGATCTTGAAACATTCTTTGTGATGATGAATGCCACACCATTCCTCTTCAGTTTGTCATTCCTGGCATAGTAGATCATGTGGTTGTCTGATTCAGAATGGCCACAATCAGTCCACTTCAGATCACACTAATGCCTAGGATATTGGTCTTTATGCATACCATGTCTTTTTTGACAACTTCCAATTTTCTAGATTTATAGTTGGTACGTTCCTTGTTCCAATTATTAATGGATGTTTGCAACTGTTTCTTCTCATTTTGAGTTGTACTATGTCAGCAAATGGAGGTCCCAAAAGCACTACTGTGTTCACATCTACTCTGAAGAGGCAGCTCTTTCCCAGTCTTACTTTGAGTGTCTTCCAGTCTGATGAGCTTATCTTCTGGCACTATATTGGACAGTGTTACACTGCTATTCACAAGGTTTTCACTGGCCAATACTTTGAAAAGTGCATGGCCTCTTCCTTCTTCCAAGTCTATCTTAGTCTGGAAGCTCCACTGAAACCTGTCCACCATGGGTGACCCTGCTGGTATTTGAAACACCGGTGGCACAGCCTCCAGCCTCACAGCAACACGCAGGCCCACAGTACGACCAACTAAGGAACGAGTTTGTCTCTCTCAGCTGTTCCAAACTGCTCCACTCCCGCTTCCTGGCTCTCCTAGCTCTTCTGGCCTCCCTTAGCTTGTCATGCTGGCCCACCACCAGCTCCTGCTGCCTCTCAGCCTGCCCTAGCTATTGTTCTCTCTGCCGCCAGTTCCTGCCACTACCCAGCCTGCCCTAGCTGTCACTCTAGCCCACCGAAAGCTCCGGCCACTACCCAGCCTGCCCTAGCCGTCACTCCTGCATCCCACCACTACCCAGCCTGCCCTAGCTGTTGTTGCCCTACTCTTTATATGGTCTCTAAATTCAGCAATGGATACAGGCAACCAAGGGGAGAACCCTAAAGCATCCCACTGTGACGACCTGCAGCATACGCCTGTTTGTAAGAGGCTCCAGAACAGACATAACCTACCTGCTGAGGGACTCTCTGACTGTCAGGGCTTAGGCGGCTGCTAGTCAGGAATGGCCAGAGGTACATATTCCTGAGGTGATGGAAGTGTTTTATCTCTGTAACAGTGTGGGTGACACACTTGTATGTAATCGGTAAAACTCATTAAACTGTACTTTCATTTCACAGTATGTAAATTATACCCCAGTTTTTTTTTTAATAAAAATAAAAGTCAGGCTCTCCCGCAGACTTCATAACACTTTTGTCCAGTATTCAGTTAAGTCTTCTGCACCCTGTCTGTAGGGTGCTAGTGAACATATATATGTGTGGTGAACATTCTTCTTGGAGTGGTCCTCGTTTGAGGCCTGTAAAGTGATGGAAGTGGCAGCTTTTGGATAGCAAGACTGACTTCAGGATGGTAGATGGACATTTCATGCTGGTTCATGCCAGTATAGAAGGCAGTGTGTCAGGCACTGTCAGCCAAGCTCCTCTGGTCATAAAGAAACAACACTGAGTGTGTCATCAAGTACCAGCTCCCTGTGTGTGGAGCCGCACCTCTCAGTGGAAGTTCAGCTTGGCTTAGAGAGTCTCAGGAATTTGCATTTCTCAAAATATATTCTGTTTCCAAAAGATGCTCACAAAGTAAGATTTTTTCCTAGGAACTTATTTTTCATTAAATGCTGTACTTCCAAGGTTCCCACGTGCTGTGCATGCAGCTAGGTTCATTCACCTCATGCTGCAGGAGGCTTCACTGCGTGACTTGTGATAGTTTTCATGTGTTGCTTTTAGCATCAGGAGAAAAAGTCCACAAGACAGCCCCTACACCTGAGATTGGTCAGGGCTTCTGTGTGCTCTTGCCCAGGTCCTTGTTCCATTTCTCCTCTTGGTAGGCGGAGGCTTGAGAGGACAGGAGGAAGAAGGGGTGTGAATGCGTTGGCTGGGCATCTGTACGTTTAAAATCCTAACCTAAGATGACACAGTGCTTGGCGAAGGAGACAGACTGTAATGTGAGGAAGCAGAGCAGCCGGGTGGCTGTAGGCTTATTTGCAGAAGCTGCCTGGAGCCAGGACTTGTTCAAAAGAGCCCACGAGCATCGTCAGTGCGCGCCCAGGCCTGCCTGTGCACATCGCTGCTGTGTGGAGGTGGACATGGGTGTCCTTTCTGTCCCTCCCACCCCCCACCTCAAGCTAGCCTTCAGTGTGCCTCACGGTCTGTTCACGTTCTGTCCCCTGCACCTCAGCACCGCTGTTTAAGTGTGAGTGCACCATGCGGGCAATGCCACTGTCTCCCTCATGTCTCCTCTCACAGATAAACACTGATGAGCTCGAGGAGGAACCCGTGGTGAATGGGGACAAGTCAGACTGTGTGTCCACAGACCCTGTGGTTTCAGGGAACAGAGGGAGAGCTAAGCATGGAAGCACGGAGGCCAAGGTGGATGAAGGGATTGATGAGTCAGCAGCTGCTGGACAGGTACAGGGTCCGAGTGGTGGGCTTGGGGGCCCCCACGCACCCTGCTGCATCCCTGTGCTTGCTAGACTGGAGGGCTTGTTTCCTGAGCTCGAGAGTGTCATTACCCAAAAATTTCTTTGGGGATCCCGATGGGTGAGTGCTGTGTGCGGGTCCCTAAACACGCATCCCTGGCACTGCTCTAGGCTCCATGCCTGAGATCCGATCTCCCTCAGCAGCATGACTGGCATATGCATAAACTGAGAGATGCATGCATCATTCCATGCCTATGAGCTGCTGGATGGTGTGTTGTCTTTTTGTCATGCGGCTGGCCTTGGTCTGGGGACTGCGGCTCTGACCTTGGTGTGAGACCTGAGCTTTGAGGAGAAGGGCCGTTTAGTGACTTGTGGGGCCCAGACCTTGGCTCTGATAATTTGAGTCACGACTGCAGAAGTGCAAACACCCTCACAAAATGTTTGTGTCCTGGCCCTGGTGGTGGGAGGGTGGGCATTTGGAGGGGCGTACCGTTCTGTGGCCATGTCACAGAAGACAGTCAAAAAGAGGTCTTCTTGCAAGGCCCTAGAAGAAGCATGTGCCCTCTGGGAGCCTGCTGCTACCAGACTAGGCACTGCCCTTGGGGAACTTCCACTTGAGTGGGCATGGAGGGTCACGGCTTTGACCAGTGCAGTGTTGGGGAGCCCAGCTCCACAGTGAGGCACCTGACTGAGGCTTGGGGTCATAGGGGTTCCTGAGGAGGGCCCTTTTTGCTGCACTGGAAGGAGTAGGCCAGCTGAAGAACCCTGGGGAAGGGGGAGCTTGCAGGGGTGGAAGAGGGAGGCCCTTGGGGGTGGGACTTACAGGGGGAGGGAGATTGGCAGTTACAGGGTCTCTGGCACAGTCAGGACCGACACAAGGAGGAGCAGGGGCGACACCAAAGCCCCCATCTCCAGAGGGACTGGGCAGGTGGTTCAGGGCCCCATGCGTGTCCTGCAGAGGCCTCCACGTGTGGAGAAGGGTTTGGTGAGAATAAGGCCACACTGACGACAGTCAGGAAAGGGGGGCGCCAGGCTGGAGTCGCAGAGACGTTACATGGTGCTGCTTGTAAGCCGAGCAAGAGCTGACAGGAGCAAGTGACTTTGGTGACAGGAGGGGGCACAGGCCTCCACTCTCTCTGTGACGGCTGCTACTGGTATTTTGTGAGATTTCGCTGCCATTCCCTGCAGGTTAAAGCGTGCTGCTTTCATTAGTCTCATTCCAGTGGCAAACACCGGAAGAAGAAAAAGAAACAGAAGAACAGGAAAAGCCCGTCAGGAGAGACTCTGGTGCGTGTGTCGGCCTGGCTGGTCTGTCCACCCCTTTGTGCCACGTGGAGGGCTGTTCATTCCTGGTTGGCTTTTCCATTCCTTTCCATTGGGAGTACGGGTAATTCAGAGGTCGCAGAAAAGAAAAGCAACAACTCTTTTGTTCACTCAGTTCCTTGGAGGACTGGAGCCCCATGCTCCCATGTTTATTTCCGGGCTCCCTGATGGAGGGGGTGGGCTGCTCCTAGTTGTGCTTCTCCTCGTGGCCCTGACCTTGTTCTAGGGCTGAGGGCCAGCTACATGGTGACGGTGAGAACCACCTGGTGAGGCAGTCTGCCATCAGCGCGTGTTCACATCATTTCTCTGTCTCAGCTCTGATCCCACTTGTCCAGCAGGGAGTGGCGTTTCACTAATGTTCCATCTCAGTCACAAACCCCAGCTCCTGAGAGGAGCCAAGGACTATGCTATCCTAGAAAATGGGGTTCACCTCTCTCTAGGGTTCTCTGGTTCTGCAATTCTGTTCTTTCTGATCCTCTGCATCTTAAAATTTCTTTTTTGTTTTTTAATTAGTTGATAAAGCATTCAGAATAAAGTTGGTTCAGTGATTAATAGGTTGTCGCGGGGCTTTTAGGAAAATGGACTGGAAGATATCGACCGCATCTTAGAGAGGATTGAGGACAGCAGTGGGTTGGTCCGGCCCGGCCCACCAGCCCTGGGTGCCAGGAAGCACGTGCTCCATGTGGAGCACAGGTAAGGCCAGATCCCTCCTTTCAGGCCCCCTCATGGCCAGATGCCCCCTTTGTGGTCTCCCCACAGCTCCTCTGTGGCCAGGAAACAGTTAAGTGTTTTTTAAGAAGAAAAAAGGGAGGATGTTACTGTATTTAAAAGTAATGATGAGCATGTTATTAAATATTTAGGAAGGAGCCACGGAGAGGAAGAGGGGGGACGTCACCCTGGTCCAGGGAGCTGCAGCTGTTGTTGTGTCTGCAAAGTACTGTTTTGAGCTGAGATAGTGTAAGGTGTCACCCTTGGATAAATTGTGGTCTCTCAGTCCGGTGGAAGCTTAATGAAATTTTGTCCCCCCATGGGGTCCCTGGGTGACACAGATAGTGGTCCTCAGCTGCTGACTGAGGGGTTAAAGGCTCAGGTCCACCCAGAGACTACTGGAAGAAAGGCCTGGGATCTGCTCCCAAAGTACCATCCGTCGAGAGCGCCATGGGGCCCTGTCCAGTCCTGCACACACAGGGCGCTGTGAGTTGGAGTCCAGTACCACCACCCTGCTACAGAAGTTTGCAGGCAGCGTTTCTTTAAGCCAGCCAGAGCCAGTTAAGGCTTAGTGGTCTGATCTGCTCATGTTCATGTGCCTGACATGCATTGTTTGCTGGAGGCAGGTGGAGGTGTGTCCCCAGGTGGCACAGATGAGCATCGTGGCTCACTGAGCGCGGCTCCCACAGTGATGGCAGTGGCTCCCTTTGCACCGACCCTGTGGGGCTGAAGGAAGTGGTCCTGGAGATTGTCCCCCTGGTGAATTTTATGGAACTTTTTAAAATTCCCAGAATCATTGTAGAAGAATTTGATATTATCTTTCTTTCTAAAATGTTCAATCCTCTAGACACTTGAATCCAGACACAGAACTGAAGAGGTACTTTGGTGCTCGGGCGATCCTGGGGGAGCAAAGGTAAGCTCTGTGCTGAGGTGTGTTTGTAAAACTGTCTCACCTTTTTGGTGATTAAAGACACGGAAGGTCCGTGAGCAGCTCCCCCTTTGCTGTGCGTCTAGAACTGGGTGGTGCCTGGCTGTCGTTACTGAACATTTTCATCGAACATTCCGTGGAACAGTCCTGATCAAAAGGTGGAAAATGCAGAACAGAATTTCAGATTCTCATGGACTTTAGACTTTTTTGGAGCCATGAAGGGTGGGTAAACCCCTAACACTATTGTTTTGAGATAATCCTTAAACCTTAAACCAGAAATACCCCTAAAGTCTTCTTAAAGCCGAGCAGTAATTTAGCTTTGCTGATAAAAAAGGTCTCCCTTGAGCATTATGCTTTTTTATGAGATCAAATTGACAATAGCACTGGTAAGATTAGATAGGAACTTTAGTGGGCGGAAAGCTTATGTTAATGGAGGAAAAACAACTCAGAAAAGGAGGGTGAGATTGTTGCACAACTCCAGTACCATCATTCGTGTCACTGACTTGCACAGGTACAGAATGTTGAATGGGTGTATGTTTTGCTGTGTATGTTCCCAACTATAACAACAAATAAAATTTAGGTGAGAAAAAGACCAAGAAGGGAGTGCCCTGCAGCTCTTACTATATATCAGTATTGGGCCGTAGAGGCACTTTGGGCAGAACATTTGAAGCCATGGTGGGAAGGGGGAGGAGTCCTGGAATTGGGCTTTGAAAGTCAGGTGAGAGGGTGGTTGGAGGTGGTCTTGTCCACGAGCCCCTTATGTACTGACTTCTCATGGGCATGATGTTTTTAGAAAAATTCTGAAAACCCTTCCTTTTTGAGCCTCTAGACCTGAGATCTTAGCCAGGTCCATTTGTCTCCTTGAACATGAATGAAGTTCAGATTCTGAGGTAGATGTTGCCAGTGTTAGTGTCGCATTTGCCAGTGCTTGGGTGGCATGAGGCGAATGTTGACAGTGAGGAAGAAGACCGGCAGTGTGTGGGGGAGGTAGCGAGCTGCGGGGCGGTGCAGAGCCTTAGGGTCCCTTCCCCAAGATTGCTGTTAGAGGTCTAGCTTTAATTTGGGGAATGCCCTACCTGCAAAAGATTGGACTTTTTAAGGACTTTTTTTTTCTGATTATAGAATTTCTAAATGCTCCTTATACAAAAAATTAAAGCAATTCCGAAACACCTCCTTCCCTTCATGTTCCCCCCTCAGGATAACCACTGGGTGGTGTCTGCCCCTCCAGGGAGCCTGTCTGTGCACACAGTGCAGTTGTGTTAGGTGACGTGAGCCAGTCCTGAACACTGGTGGCCTGGTTTTGCACGTCGGAGTTGGAAGCACTGTATCTACCTGTGACAGACCAAGGGTTGAATGTGAGGTTGTTTCCAAGTTTTCCCCTGTTACAGACTGTGCCACAGAGACCCTGCTTCTGTGCAGCTCCTCCTGGTAAAATCCACGAGCTCATGCTCTGGTCTCTGCCCCTGCACCACCTTCCAAAAAAGTGCCACCTGGTCCCACTCACAGGACAGGTGTCACTGTCCTCTCTGCAGTGGTGACATGATAAGGCTAAACCTGGTCATAACACAAAGACAGAAGTGCTCTTGGTTTTGTGACTTTGGGTCTTTGATTATTGGTAAGGTTGATCATTTTTGCATAGTTTGTTCATACTTTGCTTATATGTCTAACCACTTTTGTTTTACATTTTGGATGTTAATACATCATGCGAGGATTTCTAACTTACGCATCTTTTTCTTCTCCCGTATCCCTCTCTGTCCGTCATCTTGGGTGGATGAAGACTCCACCTCATACCACCCTGGACTCTCTGTCCCGTCATTTGGGTCACTTTTTGCCTATCCCTTTATATTTTTTAAGTCCTGATCTCACTTCTGTGCAAATTGTAATTACTACTTTTTAATTATATTGTTTTGATGTTACTATTATGCTTTTTATATTTTTTTCCTTAAAGATTTAAGTCCTCCCAAAGGGGTTCCGTTGAAAGGTCGGCATTCCCCCTCCCAACTCCAGCTTCCTTATTCTGTCCCTTACTCTGTGTCTCGTCTCCTGGTGGCTCTGTCTCAGACTTGCTGAAGAAGGGAGCACCACTCCATCTCAAGCCCCACACCTGGGCCGTCCTCACTGACTCCGGGCTGCACAGGTGGGATTGAGCTCACACAGCCACCCTCCCCTTCAGGGGTCTTGTTCACTGTTGCCACTGCTGAGCCTGACTCCCCGGGAGAAGATACCCACCCCTCCTCCACCCTCACGTCTTAGGGCAGCATCCGTGCTCTGTCCATGTGTCCTCTGGGTCCTTTGTGCACAGCACAGTGCAGCCAGGCCAAGGCCAATGGCTCTGAGTGTCCACTCGTTCTTTTTTATACAGTTACCCAAAGTCACACCTCCTCTTAGTGCCCTTCAGATTCTGACCTTGCGTTTCTGGTAGTTGAGTGGTCTTGTCCTGCCTTATTGGTTTCTTGTTGAAAAAGGAAATGGTGCCTTGGTATCCTGGTCCTAACCTACTCAAGCTTTTTTGTCTTTTTTTTTTTTTTTTTTTTTAATGAACCAGTTCAGATTATCAGAAAGTATAGACAAGAATAATAAACACACAAGGGCCCACACTCAGTCCCAGAGGCACAGTGTCACCGGCCACAGAGACCCCTCCTTGGTGCTGCCCTCCCATTGCCACGTGGCCCTGCCCAGTGCCCTGAAACGTGCCTGCAGGCCTCATGCTCATCATGTTCAGCCTTTGTCAAGGCTTGTTGCTGCAGTCATGGGTCTCAGGAGAGGAGGCATGCCTGCATCATCCTCTGCCCAGCCAAGCTCACCTCCTCTGAACATGCCTCCATCAAGTGCATGGTCACCGGTGCGTGGCAGGCATGTTCGTCGTGTTTGTAGGTTTTCATTTTTCTCTCCTTCCTTCTTGTTGGACTGGTTGATATCCTTCTTGCTCTGGTGACTTAGCTCTTTAGGGTTCTCTCCCAGCTGTCGGCAGTGATGGCCCTGTCTTCCCTGCTGTGCCTGGGCTCCGCGTTTGTGCACTGGGGGCCTGTGCACGGTCCCTCTCTTTGCTGCCCCGTGGTTTTGCCTCCCCAGCTACTGTAGGCACCTCAGAAGGTGACGCTGGCACGTGTCTCCCCTAGGCCTCGGCAGAGACAGCGCATGCACCCCAAGTCCATGTGGCTGACGAACCCCAAGAGCACCTGGCCCCGGTACTCCAAACCAGGTGAGGTCTGCGGCCCCAAGTCATGTGACAGTAGCGCTGGCTGGATTCTGCCTGGTTTGAGGCAGGAGCACCTGAGCTCTTGGGGTGGAGGTCTTTGGATGTAGTCTTTTGTGTGTTGTATAAGCAGTGTCCGGGTTACAGACACGTCTGGTCCTCAGTTTGTCCTTTGGTAGAATTTGTGCGCAAGTTGGTTACCTGTGACCTGGGGGCTGCCTGTGATGGCAGTGCTCCACCTTTGGCGTTCTGTTTTGTGGGAAGCACTCAGGTTTGTTTTTAGTGTCACACTTTAGATTTTACTGCGGAGTAATAGCAGAGCTGCAGCCAGGTGTGGTGGATGTGGAGTGTGCCTTGTCTGTCGGATGCCTGTGTCCCGTTCAGTGAGAACCGTCTGGAACACTGGCCTCCACTCTAGTGCCTGATCGTGGAGGCCCAGTGGCTCAGGGAAGGGTTGGACACAGACCGTGGGGGTGGCAAGAGGACAGGGTGAGGACACCAGGTCAGACGGTGTGAGCAGGCAGGTGTGCTGGCGGTGACAGTGCAGAGCCCACGGCTGTTGGTGCTGCCACACCCTGTCTCCCAGCCTACATCTCCTGTCCCCACCTATATCAGGGAAAGGTGCCAGGTGTCATCAGCAAAGACATGCCCAGAAGGCTTTTGTGTCATAGGGCAAACTTAGGTCTATGTGGTCCTCTTGCGCACTCAGACAGGCTTCCCCTTAAGTAGCTCCCCAGCCCCCATAGGATAGCTGGGAGGATGAGAGCTAAAAGGCCATGTAGTTCATAGAGCCCATCAACACCGTGGTGCATTGGCCCACTATCCTACGCTACTTTGCCAACCCACTGGCCACATTATGAAGGGGCTGGATTCTTAGAAAATCCTGGACTCTCAGTCCCTGAGCAGTCAGTGAGGAGACAGGGGAGGTGCCGCAGGCCCATCGCCAACTGGGGCCTCTCCCCTCCACCGTTTTAACCTGAAAGTCAGCCTGACAGACAGCCATAGGGGCATGTCTAGACCCAGTAGGCAGGCTGGCTCTTAAGGCGTGCACACCCCATCGCACTCAGCTGGACTGGACTCACACAAGAGCAGGAACACACAGGATGTTGCTCCTGGTGCCCTGGGTGTGGCCTGCTGCTGTCTGCTCCAGGAGGCACCACAGCCCAGATCCTGGAAGCTCCCACGCGAGCCACGTTGGGTGGCCGTGTCCTGTGTTCTTGGCCCACCTGACCCCGTGGCCTCCCCCAGGTCTCTCAATGCGGCTGCTGGAGACGAAGAAAGGGCGCTCTTTATTTGCCTTTGAACACAGCGAGGAGTACCAGCAGGTGCAGCACAAGTTTCTGGCGGCCGTGGAGTCCATGGAGCCCAACAACATTGTGGTACGTTGGCCCACTGTCCCACCCACCATGATAGCCCACCACAGGCCTGCCCCAACCTCATGTGCACCTTAGCCTATGGCTCTGTGAGGTGGGCATCAAGGGGACCTAGGACACTATGCCCTATCTCTGCTCTGGGGTGCTGAGTGCAGTACTGTCCTTTGACACGTCCAGATCATCAGGGCTTCCACGGGTGGGGTTTCTCATCCCAAGGCCATCTGCACTGTGCACTGAGCCACCGGCCTGCATCTTAAAAACTTCCAGGGCTGTGGCCATGCCCTCAGTCCCAACCCACACCTCACAGGCTTGCCTTGCCCATTGCCTGCAGGGGCCCAGACCCCTACATGGTGTGGGCCATTGTCCAAGATGCCACTGTTGCTGGCTCACACTCTGAGAAATGATGCTGTTTGGGCTCTTCTCCCTTGGGGTGGGTTTAGGAGGGGCTGAGATGGTACCAGGCTGCCTGCAGCTGTCTATTACAGCCACTCCCTGGACATCATGTCCCATGGCCTGTCCACCAGCTCCCTCCTTTCCGACAGGTCCTGCTCCAGACGAGCCCCTACCACGTTGACTCGCTCCTACAGCTCAGTGATGCCTGCAGGCTCCAGGAGGACCAAGAGATGGCCCGCGATCTCATAGGTGAGCGTGGTTGGACCCTCACAGGCAGGGTCGTCTTGGGAACTAGGGACATAGACGCTAGGATGCAGATGGATTTGCCAGGGTGTTTGTGGAATAACAGCTCCACTAAGCTGTGATGATGAAAGCGTACAGTCAGTGTTGCCAGCACCGTGCAGCCATCACCATAGTCCAGACCAGCATCCATGAGCAGGCACAGCCTCGGCACCCTACCACCATTAGTCTGCTTTCTGTCTTACACATGTGACTATTCTAGATGTTTCCTGGGAGTGAGATCATACAATACATGTGTCTGGTTTCTCTCACGGAGTGTCGTGTGTTCATCCACGTTTTAGCATGCGTCAGGACCTTATTTCTCTTTGTGACTGAGTAATGCTCCATTTGTTGGGTGGCCCACGTGGCTGTCCGTCACCTGTGGATGGGCACTGGATGGTGGACAGTGCAGCAGTGAGCATTCGGGTATGCATCTGTGATTGTGTGTCTTCACTTCTCTGGGGTGGACACCTGCTGTTCCAGTACTCGTCCACACCTCACCGTTTTTGGGTTTTTCGGTCTTGGTTCGTCAGTTCTCGGTTGATGTACATACAGACCAGCAGCAGTGGTACCTGGGAGTCGAGGCTGCACACTTCCAGGCTGTGGCAGGGCTGTGGGGTCACTGAAACTGAGCTTCACAGCCACCTCCTTCCAGACTTACCCTTGTCAAGTGTCATCAGTGCTGGGTGAGGGCACACGGCACATGGGTGCTGCAGTGGCCAGTGTCTCTGTGTCCATAGAGAGAGCACTGTACAGCATGGAGATGGCGTTCCACCCCCTGTTCAGCCTCACCAGTGGGACCTGCCGGCTGGATTACCGCAGACCCGAGAACAGGTGAGCACCTGGCCAGGACTCGGCCCCGCATCATCGTCCCAGCCACGCATGGCAGGGAGCACTGTTGAGGCAGGAGGGCAGGCTTGAGGGCAGGCATTTGGGTTGGCCCAAAGTCAGGGTGTCGTGTTAGGAGGGAGGCTTAACAAGGCCACATCCCTGACACAGCTGCCACCTGCGTTTCCGCACTTGGGCGTGAGGAACGTATGTGAGGAGCAAGTGCTGCAGGTGCCGGAGGCAGGTCTGTGATTCTGAGTCAGCTTGCAGCGTTCAGCCCAGTGAGTGCTCACACTGCCACTCCTCATCTATTGAGTCAGGATCACGTGTGACACTCTGAGAGAGTCATCCTGTCCCCAACCCACCCTCTGACACTGACCCTCACATCCGTTGCTGCTCCGTCAGCCTCCCCTCAGCCACGCTCAGGCGCTGGTGGCGCAGACAGCCCTTGGACCCATGGTGTCTCGCACTTGTGGGCCACGCCCCCCCCCCACGTGCCTCCTCCCTCAGTGACTGTCACTAGAACCTTGGGCTGATTTGAATTTTTTCTGCCAGATTAATTTGTGTTTGTTTTGTGCCTCCAACTGAATTCTTGGTTCTTTGAGACAAGGTATTAAATATTCATGTTAGCATGCTGAAGCCTTAAAGGGAGAGTAGGCAGTTGATAAAAAACAGTCCCCCAAGACATTAAAATCAAAGACTTGTGACCAGTCATCACTACTGACAACTAGTGATGTTTGAGGATAGATTGAAACTGTAATTTCAGTAGAAGCTTTTAACTCTTCCCTTAAGTAATGAATAGTGTAAAAAAAAAAAAAAAACTACCAGAAGGTAGAGCTTTCACATACCGAATAGCAGGAGTGGTTTTCAGGACCTAGGTAACACGTCACTGTAAGCAGCAATGGGGCTCCGGCCCACCCTCCAAGCACACAAGAACCTCTCAGCGGCCCATGCCACCGTGAGACCGCGTGGGAAATCTGCAGAACCGGAGCCGAGGCTGTGGGTGGTGGCGGCTGTGTGCCCCGCCCCCACACAGCCGCCCTCTGATGTCGCGGGAACTGCCTTGGGTCTAGGAGCTTCTACCTGGCGCTGTACAAGCAGATGACCTTCCTGGAGAGGAGGGGCTGCCCACGCACAGCCCTGGAGTACTGCAAGCTCATCCTGAGGTGAGTGTCTGCCCTGCGCGCGCGCCCCGCCCCGCACCCCCGTGCCGTGACAGCTTTCTCTGCCCCAAAGCCTGGAGCCGGACGAGGATCCCTTGTGCATGCTGTTGCTGGTGGATCACCTGGCGCTGCGGGCCCGCAGCTACGAGTACCTGGTCTGCCTCTTCCAGGACTGGGAGGTAGGTGGAGCACTGCGCCCCTCCCCAGGACGGGTATGCACCTCCCTCGCCTTCCGCTGGCTTGGTGCCCTGCACACTAGGGACATTCTGGAAAGGGGCAAGGCTGACTCCAGGGCTCACTCTCCTTCTCGTCTCTCACGATAATTGAGAGTCGGCCACGTAGCTGCCTGCCCCGTCTCTGACAGTCAGCACAGTGGCCGGAAGCCACCCAGCAGCTTGGGAGCCCTCGGCCTCTGCAGTCCTGGACCCCCCGTGCGCAGGTCAGCCTGCTGGGACCCAACCCTAAAGCACGCATGTGTGCAGACAGCAGAGCTGTCGTGACAGGGAACAGAGCCAGCTGTGCTTGTTGAGGTGGGTACACGGAGCCCATCGTGGCTGGGGTCTGAGGCTTGAATGCAGGGGCCTGCTGTGCCTGCCACATTGCACATCAGGATTCAAGACAGAAACATGGACACATGTGCACGCTCATACGTGGTGCCCCGTTCACGTGTGCACATGCAGGGGATGGCCTCGGTAATTGCACGTTGGTCACTTTGGAGAGATGATGTTTTAGGTATAATGGGTTAAGTGAAGTGTACTAACATTCGTTTCCCCCCCCTTTTTTTTTAACACGGCCTGTTACTTCTCTTATGGGCAGTGCTGGACCCTTGGGCCTCTCTAGCAGGGTGGGCTGGGGACGTGACCCCTCTGTTATCACATTTGTGTCTTTTTTGTATAGCTGAGAAGTAAATAATGTCACGTAATTCATTTTGGCCTGGTTGGCCCAGGACTTTCCCCTCTGGGGTCTCATTTAGGGGGATTCATGGGTTCACAGAGGGAGCTGAGGGAGGCATTCATGACAGTTCCTGGAGTTACTAATCCCACACAGAACACAGTCCCATCTAGGAACGATGTAGTGTGTGGTGTGTGTGTTCTGAGGGGACTTCCAGGTACAGAGCAGCCCCTGGGGATCAGTGGCTCCTGGAAAAGCAGGCTTTCCCGCAGCCATGTTGGTACGTCTCTGAGTGCCACATGCAAGAACTCTCTACTTAACCTCCCTTTCTCCTTCCTCAGGCTCATCGGAACCTGTCCCAGCTCCCAAATTTTGCTTTCTCTGTGCCATTGGCATACTTCCTGTTGAGTCAGCAAGTCAACCGCCCACAGCACGAGCTCAGCGCTGCCAGGGAGAAGGCCTCGGCCCTGATCCGGCAGGCGCTCACCATGTTCCCCGGAGGTGGGTGCTGCACACTCCCGGAGGGTGGGGTGGGGATTATGCATGAACCGGGGTGCCTGCACCTCTGCTGCCCCGCCAGGACAGATGACACAGCCCCTCACAGGCAGAAGAGAACAGCAGAGCTCCCCTTTGGGCCAGGATGTGAGTTAGTGCTGGCCTTACCCCAGAGACACTTTGGGGACTAGCACATATCTTCGATATGGACAACTTACTTGAAAAAAATGTGTCATTTGGAGAAGGACAGGAATGAGCACATTGGTGCTCGTCAGTGAGCAGCACAGGAAGCGGGGCAGGAGACATGATGGGGAGGAGGCACATGGAGAGGGGCTGGGCGTGGGCCTCTATCCTCACAGGACAGGCATGTCCAGAGTCTGTGTGCTTAGACAGGATTGGTGCTCTGGGGCCTCACGGGCTAGCACCCCGCAGCAGTTGGCCACACATTGTTGGTCTGGGTTAACCATGAGCAGCGTTCAGTCAATTCCTGAGGGGCCTGTAGTGTTGGATTGAGCTCAATGCTTCCCTACCAGGGTCCTGGTGCTGCCGTTGTCAAGGGATAGTGAGCAGGATCAGCCTTGACCTGCTTGCTATGTGTTCATGGGCTCTTCTGGGCTGTCCTGGGGCCCGTGAAGGCCAGAGGAGGCGTATGTGTAGGGTTGGGGGGCCCTGCCCTAGCCTGGCAGGAGTGTGTGCAAGTGTGTGTGCAGCATCAGGTTTTAGTGAAGAGCAAAGCCGGCTCCCTGAGCAGACCCTCTTCCCCTGTTAGGTGTGCACCATGGCTTTTCTCCCTGCCCTGTAGGTAGGTTGTGTGGGGCCACACAGCAGAGCTGGGCTGTGTCTGATGCAGGTTCTCAGCCACTCTCAGTGGAAACGCCCTGCTGTGTGCTGAAGGCTGTGCCCGGAGACCTTGAGAGCATTTCTGGGAAGTCACATTGGGGCACAGCTGTCAGGAAGCCCCCCAGCCACTGGACAGCTCTGCCCTGGAGGGCCTTTGGGCACCAGGCAGGACCTGTCTACACCTTCACATCTGTGGCGTGTTCCTGGGGTGCCGGACCGGGAGTCCCTGCTGCAGGCCAGGAAATGGGAGGCAGAAGGATAGATGTCCACACACTGAAAGGCAGGGCCCCTTGGGGCCTGGTGTGAGGAGACCCACCTCAGACTCTGAGCAGCAGCAGTGGGGACATGGGCCAGAAATGAGGCTTTTGGAGCCTGGCCTCCTCCATCCGGCTCCCCAGAGTTCCCCCATGATGAGGCCTCCCTGGGCCTGTCTGTCCAGGGGTCATGTTGGTGGAGGGCTTCCCTGTGAGGCTGGCTGGGGCTGGAGACGGGGCACCGTTGCAGTGCCCTGTGCTCTGCTTCCTCTGCAGTGCTCATGCCGTTGCTGGAGTATTGTAGCGTGCGGCCTGACACCGTTGTCGCCAACCACCCTTTCTTTGGACCCAACGCCCAGATCAGGTAGAGGGCAGAAGGCGGCCCCAGGGGCAGGTCTGTGTGTGTGTGTGCACTTTTCCTGGGGACACTTACTCGTGGGGTACTGTGGCACTTCAGGACTCGTCTGGAAGTGAGGGTTCTGCCCCATGACACACTGTTGGGGTGTCAGGTGTGAGCACCAGGTCCCACAGCACTCTCTGGGGATGGCCACTTGAGAGGCTGAAGGTTGTGACCTTGTGAGGAGCCAGAGTTGTCCTCTGACTGAGAAGAGATTTGGAGTGACATCAACTGTGGGACTCACATGATAGCGCCCTGGCCTTTATCTCTCCTCCTGGAGAAAGCCTGTGGGCGGGCAAGACTGAGTGCTTCCTGGCTGTCGCAGAGGCCAGCCCCAGGCAGGGCCTGGGAGAGAGGTTCCTGCCTTTAAAGCTGTTGGTGGTACCCCGTTTCATTTGGGCACCTATTACTTTTTTAAAATAGCTCAAAAAATAAGAAACGTACTTGGAAGTTAATAGCAACATTTCCTGATAAGCAGGAAGAAGGTTCTTTTATCAAAAAAAAAAAGGTCCTGTTCATTCCCTAAACACTTTGCTCTCTTAATTTTACGGTATACTTCTGAAATTCAGAGTCCCATAAGATTTACAGTCACCGTCATGTAAAAACCTGCTGGCGAGCCACCTGCGCTGTGCGTCGGCGCATGCCCGTGCTCCTCCATTCACACGGCAGGTGGCACCCTCTACCCAAGCAGCGCAGGTGCGTGGCCTCATAGCAGAGGCCCCCCCGCCCTCCCGTGACCTTAGCGCATCACACCTAGCCCCTGCCTGTCGCCCCCCCCCCCACTCAGTCCAGCTCCCCACACCCTGTCACTCTGATGCCACCTTGCTGCTGCCGCACCCTGGCACCCCGTTCTGCGAGGGGGGCGGGCCGGGGCTGGAACGGCCAGGGGATGCAGGGGAGGGCCCGGTCGGGCGGCAGCCGGTCACGGAGCTGCTCTTTGTAGTCAGTCGCCGGCACTGAGCCAGCTGGTGAGCTTGTATCTCGGGAGATCGCACTTCCTCTGGAAGGAACCCGCCATCATGAGCTGGCTGGAGGAGAACGTCCACGAGGTGTTGCGAGCAGTGGACTCGGGGGACCCCAGCGTGGGCGCCTGTGAGAGCAGGTGGGTGTGGGTGGGCAGGGCCAGGAGATCGGGACCCTAGGGGGCTGCGGGCTGAGCGTTTTGGCAGACACCTCTGTGTCTGTGCATGAGCACCCTTGAACGTGGTGATGACACTGCTCTTGGTGGGCCTCTGGGAGCATCTTCCCCCGGCAGGCAGTGGTGCCCATGGGGTTCCTGAGGGTCATGCATTGCACTGCACGCATTGCTGGGGAGGGAGAGGACAGGCACAGTGGGGTGGTGCAGCGTCAGCTTTAGGGTTGTGGGTATTGTGCAACCTGAGGTTCTAGCAGCTTTGTGCAAGGCTGTGCACGTGGTGCTGTGGGGGGTCTTTCTGGGGTGGAGCATCACTGATGTCTTGTGGTATTGCTGCTTCCTATACTGACCCTCACCCTTCCCTCGGCTGCAGACGGAGGGTGCTGTACCAGCGTGCGCCCAGGAACATCCACCGCCATGTGGTCCTCTCAGAGGTCAAGGAGGCCGTCGCCACTCTGCCCCCGGTAAGGGAAGGTGGAAAATGGGCTTTGTGTAAGCTCGTTCATGTGTCCATCCCTTTCTGCTCTGTGCAGCCAGAAGCAGGCCTGCCCCAGGTGTGTCCTCCCAGCCTCGGAGCCAGGGGACTGTGCTCCTCCTTGCAGCCCAGGTTCCGATGTTTGGCATCGTGGGAGGTTGAGTCATCCTCACAGCTTGCCAAGGTCTCATGGGCACAGAGCGTGAGCCTGCCCACAGCCAGCAGCCACACTGTGTGGCCTTTGTAAACCCGTTGGTCCCTTCACCACAGATCACGTGTTGGCACGGCCTTTCCTGCCGCATGCTTTGCCATGTGTGCATGTACCACAGGTGCTAAGACGGCATTAGCTGTTGCCATTGAAGATAGACCCTTGTGCTGTCATAAGGGAGTAAGGCGGAAAGGGTGGAACAGCAGGCCTTCCACCAGAGGACCCTGGGCGGTTCTGCTGGACCATCAGGCTGCTGGCTGACCCTGCAGTGTCGGGCACAGCTGCCTCTACTGACCCCAGTGAGGTGGGCGGTGTGCACGCCATGCTGTGGGCCTCGGGTCACAGAGTTCATGAGAGTGCAGGCCTGTGGTGGCAGCCGAAGGTAGTGGCCTGCAGTCCTGATACTGTGTGAATGGCAGAGAATGTGAACAGTGACTCCGTGAGTCTGTTACTTGTCTATGGGTATTCTCTTAACCAAAGAGCCCTGACGGTGCAGGGTTAAACTCTCAGCTGCTAACCAGAAGGTCAGTGGTTTGACAATTAGTCCTAGCGACTGGTACACCATCTGATCTGCAGCCTATACGACTATGAGACCAGAAGAACTAGCTGGTGCTCAGCTACCACTGTCAACCACTTGGAAGGGGATCTATGTCGGAGATCCTGGATAGAGAGGGAGAACAATGTGGAACAAAACTCAAAATCATTTGGTGGCAAAACAAAAAAAAGGTGGGGACCAGGTTTGCTGGTCCAAAAAGCCTGGTGGAACCACTGAGACTATGGCCCCTAGCTGCCCTTCAGGTCTGGAATTGAACCCACACCTGTGGTTTCCAGCCAAACAAAGTACAGGCATGTGAGTTAAACATTTACCTCAAGTAGACACACGCCCTGGAGAGAACAATCATGGGAGAAGGAAGGGCTGCTTATGCACAGGGAGACAGCTCAGGGCGCAGAAGAGTATGGAGGGATGGACACTGGGAAGAGGTAACTATGGGGAGGAAGTGGGGGGGAGCTGTTGCATTGTAAATTTTGATCAATGACATGAGACAAAGTATATGTGAACTGCTGTATGAGAAGTGAATTTACTCTGTAAATCTTCACCCAAATCAAAATAAAATTAAAAAAAAAAAAATCATTTGGAGAAAAAAAGGGGGTGGGAGACCAGGTTTGCTGGTCCGATAGAGCCTGTTGGAACCCCTGAGACTATGGTCCCTAGCTGCCCTTCAGGTCTGGAATTGAACCCACACCTGTGGCTTCCGGCCAAACAAAAGACAGGCATATGAGTTGAACATTACCTGAGGTAGATACACTCCTTGGAGAGAGCAATCATGGGAGAAAGAAGGGCTGCTTATGTACAGGGAGACAGCTCAGGGGGCAGGAGGGCACGGGAGGGACACAGGGAAGAGGTAACTATCAGGAGCAGGTGGGAGGGGAGCTGTTGCATTGTGGTAAATTGTGGTCGGTGTCATGAGACAAAGTGTATGTGAACTGCTGTATGGAAAGTGAAGTTGCTCTGCATATTTTCATCCAAATCACAATAAAAAGAAAAAAAGTCTGTGGTTTGAACCCACCAGTCGCTCCGTGGGAGAACAGACCTGGTGATCTGTTCACATAGAGACCGCAGCTTTGGACATCATGGGGGCAGGCGTCCTCTGTCCTAGAGGGTCAGCTTGAGTTGGAATTGGCAGCCCACCGGGCAAGGGACAGGGCAGTGTCCACGTCACAGAATGCCTGTCCCTACTCACTAACCTAAAGTTCTGTAGTGCAGTGTGCACAGCCATGCCTCCAGAGCCATGTGTGTCGGTCTCCACAGCCATATCCGGCTACTCAGTCCAGCAGGGAGTCTTAGGGGAAGACTCTTGGGGAGTGCCAGTCAGTCCAGCAGGGAGTCTTAGGGGAAGACTCTTGGGGAGTGCCAGTCAGTCCAGCAGGGAGTCTTAGGGGAAGACTCTTGGGGAGTTGCCAGGGACACTGGATTGCCCTCTCTAGTGTGTCTGTTTGTGTCCCTTTGTGAAGGACGTGACCACGCAGTCTGTGATGGGGTTTGACCCTCTGCCTCCTGTGGATACCATCTACTCCTACATCAGACCTGAGAGGTATGTCTTTGGTTTCTTGTGTCTACAGCTCAGAGTTCAGTGCCTCAGGTTTCCTGAAACTTGCTGCTGCTTCTAGACACAGACCATGGAGATGAGGCACAGACGTTTTAAGAGGCTCTTCCCCAGCCCAGGAGAAGAGCACAAGGCCATGAGTCAGCTTGTGTAGGCTCTGTTCTCTCACACACCCCCGTCTGAGCTCTGTCCGGTTCTGCAGCAAGTGTGGGGACACCTCACCTGCCCTCCTAGAGTCCAGTGCCGTGCAGAAAACGGACATTGATCACAGAATCTGGAAATAAATACAGACTGAAAATGGTCATAGCATACTGTAGGAAAGAGTAGAGGGCATGACTCTGATGCAAGAGAAGAAGTCACCTTACCCAAGAAGAGGCGGGAAGCTCACTGGTTTCAAGTAGAAGAGCCAGTGTGTACAAAGGCCTTGTGCAGGGAACAGGCCTGTAAGGTGTGTTCGGAGAACTAAAGAAGGGTCCCACAGCTGAGCCAGAGAGCAGGACAGTTGGGGTCACACTGCACTGGGAGGTATGGTGAAGTGGGAGCCCAGCCTGCCTGCCAACACAGGCCGCTGGGTACGTGTGGACAGCCTGCAGAACCTGGACCCTTGAAAGTCCTTTGATTTTCCTTCCCTCTGGCCATTAGTGCAGAGTGGTAGATCTCCAAGGAAGAGTTACGTGCAGACAGGATTTCCCATTTAATAGAGTGCCAGGCACTGATTTCCAGACCTGGGCAGACCATATTTTGTAGGATCAGGTCCTTTTTTCCCATTAAATTCTGTTCTGAAACTATGGTTGCATGTTCATGGGAAGTGGTTCCAAGTTAAATTCCCTAACAGATTAAGATGAAGACGGTTACTGCCATCAGTGAGTTTTCGGGAAGGGTGACCTGGTCGATGGCGCTAGATACTGTAGCCCTGAGGAACCATATTGCTTTGCTGACTGAGCACTTCGTTCTGCTCTTCCCTCTTTCATAGACTGGAGGCTTTTGCCATCCCTGGAGCTCCTTATGTGTAGGTTACTGAAGTATCTAAGGAGCCTGGGTGGCGGAACAGCTAAGCCCTCGGCTGGTAACCAAAAGGCCAGCGGTTGAACCCAGCAGTGGTTTCGCAGGAGAAAATGCCTGGTGATTTGCCCCCATAAAGATTACAGCTTGGGGAAACCTGTGGCCAGTTCTGCTCTGTCACACAGCATGGCTAGGGGTCCAAGTCACCTGAACGGCCCCAAACCACAGTGTACGGGAGAGCCCTGGGTGGTACAAACTGTAACATGTTCAGCTGCAAACAGGAAAGGTGGAGGTTGATAGGGGTATAGTAGAGCTGACAAGGGACAAGGTTGTAGTCACTTCTTGGTCACAGCCAGCCACCCAGAGGGACTGGGTAGTTGAACCTGTGGGCTTGGGACCATAGTCACAGGGGACATCAAGCTCAATTGGCATAACATACTACACAAAACATTGTTCCACCTGCTACTTTGACGAGTAGTGACTGGGATCTTAAAAGCTTGCAGGCAGCCATCTAGATGCAACAATGGGTCTCTCCTCATCCAGAGCAAAGAAGAATGAAGAAAACCAAAGGTTCTCGGAAAGAATTAGTCCTCGCGACTGGTACACCACGTGATCCTCAGCCTATATGAGTATGAGACCAGAAGAACTAGATGGTGCCCGGCTACCAATGTCAACCACTCGGAGGGGGATCTATATAGGAGACCCTGGATAGAGAGGGAGAACATTGTGGAACAAAACTCAAAAATCATTTGGGAAAAAAAGGGACCAGGGTTGCTGGTCTGATAGAGCCTGGTGGAACCCCTGAGACTATGGTCCCTAGCTGCCCTTCAGGTCTGAAATTGAACCCATACCTGTGGCTTCCAGCCAAACAAAAGACAGGCATATGAATTGAACATTTACCTGAGGTAGATAAACTCCTTGGAGAGAACAATCATGGGAGAAAAAAGGGCTGTGCACGCACAGGGAGACAGCTCAGGGGGCAGGAGTGCATGGAGGGATGGACACAGGGAAGAGGTAACTATCGGGAGGAAGTGGCAGGGGAGCTGTTGTATTGGGGTAAATTGTAGTCATTGTCTTGAGACAGTGTATGTGAGCTGCTGTGTAGAAAGTGAATTTGCTCTGTAATCTTTCACCCAAATCACACACACACACACACACACACACAAGTTGGAGGTTGAGTCCACCCAGAGGCACCTGAGGAAAGGCTTGGTCTGCTTCCATTGAAGACAAGGAGGCTCTAGTCGGGCACACAAGGGGTCACCACGAGTTGGCGTCCACAGCAGCCGACTGTTTAAGTGTCTAGTAGCGCTCTGGTTGAGCAGTGGTTAAAGCACTCGGCTGCTAACCAAGATGGCAAATCGAACCCACTGGCCACTCCACAGGAGAAAGATGCAGTCTGCTTCTGTAAGGATTTATAGTCTTGGAAACCCTCTCAGGTTTGCTGTGAGTCAGAATCACCTCTATGGCAGTGTATTTGGTTTTCAGTAGCGTGAGGTGCAGTGTCTCACGTCACCAGTGGGGGGGTTGCCACTTAAGTGTTAGAATCTTCTAGTGCTTGATGACTAGTCTAAAGTGTTGAAGAAAACATCGCAGCCCCAGCTTTCCTTAACAAGGCCAACTGCTGTGGCAGATGCGTAACTTGGCTGTAGTAAGGACCACTGTCCGCTTGGCTCAGTGAGCTAGGTTCTATAAGACCCACCCTCAACTCTAGATCCCCTTTCCTGGTAGCATCTGAACTGTTAGTTTCCTTGGTAACCTTGGAGCCCACAGCCTAACCTTGAGCTCACTGAACGTCCATGGCCCTGGCGTAACAATTCTCTCCACCTGCTACTTAGGGTTGCCTTTTCCACTCCAGCTTGGGCGACAAAGGAAAAGGAGGCAGGAGGCAGTGCAGAGGACATCATGAACTGGGCTGGTGTCCCAAAAGGTGTCAGTTCAGTTTCGCTTCTGACCTTTGCTGACTTTGTTTTCCAGGCAAACTCCTGTTGGCCAGGCAAATACTGTGGCCCTCTTCTTCCGATCCTTGTTGCCAAATTACACCGCGGAGGTAGGTCCTGTGTGCCTCACTGCACCCACGTCTCTGGCCTGTCCTTGCTAATGGGAGGCAGATTGGGACAGGAGAGCCCTGTTGCCCCCATGGGCACCCTGCCTGGTTTGGACGATGGCATGTACCCACTGGGGTCAGTCCCCTCACCTGGGCTCAGGGCAGGCAACCCCACACATGGGCCCAACCTTAAGGGCTTCTCCTCCTATGTGGCCCTGGAGACTGATGCTGGGGGGTGCGGTCTGCTCACTTGGAACATGGGCCCTCCGGTCACTCACTGCTGCTGTTGTCACAGGAGGACAGACTGCAGGAAGACCGGCTGGAGGAAGAGGGGGGAGGCATAGCCGATGGCTTGGACCGCGTCCAGGGCCTGAACAGGCTGATGATGGCTGTGCGCGAAATGATGGCAAATTTCCAGTTCAATGACCTGGACCTGCCACACCGGGAGAACCGGGACGATCCTGAGAACATGGAGAATCCTGAGGGCCGGGGCGAGGGGGAGTGGGACTGAGCCACGTCACTGTGCCTGGCAGTTGTGTCCCTGACTGATGAGCCAGTCCCTGGAGTGGAAGCGTTCCTCTCCCGCCCCCATAAATGTCAGTGGTCTCACCCCTGTGAATGTCGGTGGTCTCCCCCACCCCACCACGTGAACTTCAGTGTCTCCCATCTCTCTGAGTGTAATTTGATCTCTGTCCCTGTGAATGTAATGTGGTTTCCCACCTCCATAAATGGTGGTCTCCTGCACCTTTAAGTGGCCGTGGTCACGCTGTGTTCTGCAGCAGTGTCTTTCTTCCTGGAGTTGGCATCACTGCCGAGGTGGTATGTTAGGACACAAGCCCAGTCCTTGTCCCAAGGCTCCACACACACCTGCCACCCCCTGCCTGTGATTAGCATTTACTGGGCTGGCCCCACCCCCCTCTGTACCCCATAACTCCCTCAGCCCTCCCTGCAACACTGCATTGTGCTCTGGGATTTGAGATGTAAGGGGGTGAAGAAGGAGTGCCGCTGGGTTTCTAGCTCCATGTGCTTGCTCAAGCCTCTGTGTGTCAGCCGGGGTTCACCGGGTCCGTGCCACCCCCATCAACCTGAAACGGGCCAGCCCCGCAGGGAGACCCAAGGCCCCAGCAGGGGGGCTCCTGGCCAGACCCTGGTAAGCTGGTTCTGGGCCACCCACTGTTCGCAGACACTGAATCTGACAACATTTTTATTGAAAAAATGTCAGGGCAGCACCAGCATTGAAGGGAGCTCAGATCAGGACATTGGTCCAGGGGAGCTTGACCCAGGGGCGAAGGTGTACTCGGTACCAGAGGAGAGGGGTGTCAGTCAGGAGGCTGCACCTGTGCGGAAACTCCAGCCATGATACGAGGCCTGTTGAGCTTCTAGAAGGAGCCAGGGCACTGGGCTACGGAGCTGAGGGGATCCCGGTGTCCTCTGAACCCAGCCGTTAAGCTCCAGGTGCTTTACTCCGTCAAAGCAGGAGGAGGTGGGAAGGAGGGGCTCATGGTAAAGGTCCTGACCACTGTCCCATGTGCTCAGGGCAAGGCGACCAGGCACATTGGCCCCAGAGACCCTCAGTAAGGCCTGGATTGGCAGCAGGAAGTACTCTAGTCTGCACCTCCCACTGGGGCCAAGACCCTGGAAGTTCAGAATGGCATTTGCAGTCCTTGGGCTCAGTGAGGCCTGAGAGACCCCATTATCTGACACCTTCCACCAGGGGGGGCGCCAATGATAGCTGAGGCTGCATGACAGTCTCCCAGAGTGCTATTGGGTTGTGAGCAACACAGGTTCACCCTGGAATTCTCAGAAGGAGTGTGGGATGAGTGCTTGCCCACGACTGGGACATCTGGTTTCTGGGTGTTCTGGGTGCAGTAGCATTGCTGCTGCCAGAGTCAAGCTGGCCATGTCCTCCTGACTCGTGGGGCATAGTCCCAGTGTGGGTGCCCTGTCCCCAGCACACCGATGGCCCCCTGTATTGGGGATAAGGTGGGCCCACCCTCGGGATCACTCAGCCACCAGAGGTGGGGCTCCTTATTGTGCCCAGCCCACATGTACTACCCTACTTCCTGCGCTCACAGAGAACCTGAAATTCTTGGAGCCAAGACAGAATGCTGGAGCAGGCAGCTATGGGCACCCATGTACAGATCCTGCCATGCTCCCACCCTGGGCACAGTGCTGCAGACACAGGCTGTCTCATTGGGATGGGAGTAGGTGCCTCACAAGGTGGAGAAGTGAGGCAGGTGATGGCAGTGTGAGGGGCAGAGGTTCCTCTAGTTCACTTGAGGGGGGGCTGTTCACCACATGGCCTCTGGTTTTTCCTCACTCCCCTCTCCTGGGAGAGCAGGAGACGCAAGTGGCCCAGGGTCAACTGCAGCCATCAGCTGTCTCCACACCAAAGCTAATCAGAATGCTGATTTCCCAGCTTGGCTGCATCTGCTGCCCCGCCCACGCTGCCACTGACCAGCATACCCAGAGGCTGGGATGGGAGTCCTAAGACAGGGACATCTAACTTCTGATGCCAGGAAAGGGCTGTGGTTGCCTTCTGCCAAAGGTTGTCCAGTTCTCACGTCTTTGAAGTCTTGGCCTTTGGCTATGGGGGCAGGGTTTAATAGCACCCCCTCAAAGGCCTCATTCAGAGTTGGAAACACTGGCACCCTGAGGTGGTGACACAGAACAGTCCCCCAAAGCTGCCTGAGGCCAGGAAGCTAGAGGTCAGGGCCTGTCCAGCCTGAAGGACTCAATTCCTCCCCAAGAGCCCACAGGAAACATCTGTGGGTGGGGGGTGTCTAGGACCCCGTGTGATCAGGGACAGCCCAGCAGATTTCAGGGCCAATGATACCAGCACTGCCTCACACACAGGGACCACCCTGCCCAGCCATGGGTCTGCTGCCAACGTGCCCCAGGACCCCTGCTCCCTTTGGAGAGCCTCACTAGGAGAAAAGGAAGAAACATTGAGGGGTGGTATGGCTGGTGATTCGGAGCTGAGAGAGGTTCCAGTCTCGCCTGAGCCTTGAGGGTTGACCAGAAGAACGGGGCTCCCCTGCCCACCAGCAAAGGGCAAACTAGAGCTGCCAGTTTGAAGAGTGGTTTGGCCAAGTCTGCTAAAGCTGGAGGTCTGCCTCTGAGCCCCCAATTCCCCTCCCAGGTGCCACCAGGGAACACAAAATAGTGACTGCACCTCGTGACGACAGAGTGAATTGGAAAGCGTGAGGTGTCCACATAACAAAGAATTCCCACGAAAGGCCGCAGTGTGGGAAAAGGAGCCAGGCCCTCCCCCTGAAAAAGTGCAACATGTATGATTTCATTTGTACCAAGTTCAAAAATAGGCGAAATTAACATAGAGTACTGCATTGTCAGTGATGGCAAACATTGATCTACAGGTAGGTAGATGAAGGGTGGACAGCCTGAATGATTAGGTACGTCTATGCAGTAGGGAGTGTGCCCATGACCGGGTACAGAGTTGGCAGACAGTGTTTCTACAAGTGTTTTGGTATGTTGGGAGCTCTGGTAGCGTACTGCCTAAGACATTTGATTGCTAACTAGAAGGCTGGCTGGTTCAAACCCACCAGCCGCTCCTCGGAAGGAAGGTGGGGCAATCTGCTTCCATAGTGATACAGCCTCGGAAACCCAAGGAGGGATCACTGTGAGTCGGGTCCGACTCCATATCACGTAACAACAATGTGGGTATGTTCTGTAAGAATTTCCAGGTATGTAGTAGAGTTGACAAAGGGCAAGGTTGTAGTCATTTCTTGGCCACAGCTAGCTACCCAGAGGGAGTGAGTAGTTGGACCTATGGGCTTGGGATCATAGTCTCAGGGGACATCAAGCTCAATTGGTGTAGCATACTACACAAAAACATCGTTCCACCTCCTACTGTGGCAAGTAGGGACTGGGATCTTAAAAGCTTGCAAGCAGCCATCTAGATGCAATGATGGGTCTCTCCTCGTCCAGAGCAAAGAAGAATGAAGAAAACCAAAGACACATGGACCAGCCCAAGTGACTGGTAGACCATGCAATCCTCAGCCTATACAACTATGAGACCAGAAGAACTGGATGGTGCCCAGCTACCACTGTCAACCACTCAGAGGGGGATCTATGTAGGAGAACCTGGACAGACAGGCAGAACAATGTGGAACAAAACTCAGAATCATTTAAAAAAAAAAAAAAATTGACCAGGTTTGCTGATCTGATAGAGCCTAATGGGACCCCTGAGACTATGGCCCCTAGCTGTCCTTCAGGTCTGGAATTGAACCCACTTCTGTGGCTTCCAGCCAAACAAAAGACAGGCATATGAGGTGAACATTTACATTAGGTAGATGCACTCCTCAGATCAATCATGGGAGAATAGAAGGGCTGTGTATGCGCAAGGAGATAGCTCTTGGGGCTAAGAGTACATGGGAGGGAAGGACACAGGGAAGAGGTAACTATGGGAAGGAAGTGGGAGGGGAGCTGCTGCACTGTGGGAGATTACAGTCAATGTCATGAGACAGTGTATGTGAACTGCGGTATGGAAGATGAATTTGCTCTGAAATGAATTTGGGTGATGAATTCCACCCAAATCACAATAAAATTAAATGAAAAGAAATAGGCAAAACTAATGGATGGATAAAGATCAGAGTAGCAGCTCATTGGGTAGGAAGACTTCTGAGTGGGGATAACAGCAGGGCTATGTGCAGGGTGGGCATTCGCCAGGCTGCATGTTCACAGTCGGTGTGTACATTGTTCTTCAATTTGTTGTTATTTGCTTTGGAGTCTGACCCGACTCATAGCAACCCCTCCTTGGGTTTCCGAGGCACTGTCTCTATGGAGGTAGATTGCCCAACCTTCCTTCCGAGCAGTGGCTGGTGGGTTTGAATTGCTGGCCTCTGGTTAGAAGTTGAACACCTCAGGCGCTGTGCCACCAGAGCTCCTTGTACTTCAATTAAAAGTCTTGAAAAAGCAAAAAGGATGAAGGGGCTTAGTAAGTAGTAAAATGCAGATGTGATTAATGACACCCTGGGGTGTCATTATGAGCCCTGGTGGCACAACGATTAAGGACTCAGTTGCTTACCAAAAGGTTGGCAGTTCTAACCCACTCAGTGGCTCCACGGAAGAAAGATGTGGCAGTCTGCTTCCATAAAATTACAGCCTCAATCTGCTTCCATAAAGGTTTATAGCTTCGAAAACCCTTCCCGAAGGGTCGCTATGAGTCACTGCCATCGGAATTGACTCTATATCAGTGGGGTTTGTTAACTGTGAGAAAATAAATTTGTCCTTTAAGGCCAAAAAATAAAAGGGGGATGGGGATTACAGGGTAGAAAATGCTATGGTGCAGTTCTATTCTGTCATGTGGGGTCATTGTGAGTCTTGTTGACCCCACAGCACACAACAGCAACCACCATTACAACTGATACTTGCCGGTGGATATTAGCGCAGGGGCATGGCATGTGAGTGGGGTGGGATCTGCATGACCTGGGGTCAGTTGGTAGGCAGATGGGTACATGTGTGTAGGGGAGGCGGTTTTAACAGGAACATCACAGACACACGTACTCGCAGCTCCCTCAGCCTCGCCTGGTTTCATCTCCACTGCTGGCTCAGGCCTGACTTGGAAGAAGCCACTGCTTTCGCCTCTCCTGTGATCCCCACCTACAACTGGGACATAGGGTTCCATTCCTGCCTGCAAACACAGACTTCAGTGAGAGCAGGCTGGGAGCCCTGAGCCGTCACCCTGGCCTCGTGTTCTGACCACCACCGTGAATGGCTCTCAGTCAACAGACGGAGACAAGGAGTCTGGCCTTGATGTGGTGCATGGCTTGGGGGCCTGTAGTCTTCCGCAGAGGAAATGGGGGCACTGTGAGAGAGGGACACAGCCCCCCCAGCGGATGTGGCTAGAGGATCCTAGTGGGCCCCTCAGGCCTGGGAGCTGCTGCTCCCCCTCTCAGGGCTCACTCGCCCCGTAGCACCCTTTGTCCTGCCCAGATCCCCCACACCCACACTCCCACACTCGCTGTTCAGTTCTGAGATTTAATTATGGAATGTTCTCCCTGGTTCAGCCTCCAAATCTACCTTAAACTTCAGCAGGTTGGTGTCAGGTGGACATCGGTGATATTTGAGGGGGCCTGGGGAGAGGGCTTGAAATTTTGCAGATGGGGTTTATGGTTGGAAGTCACCATGTGAGGGGGCATGGGGCCCTTGGCCAGGAGCCTGGGCTTGCAGGAGTATGGGACAGGAGAAGGGTGTGGACAGGCTGCTGGGCACCTCCCTCTGTGGGTGCAGCTATCACGTGGTTGCCCTCAGGGAGGGGCCTGCACTCTCCTTTAAAGAGGCTGGAGAAAGACTTCACTCTTCCCGGACCTCAACCCTGCCTGGTCTCAGGAGGTAGGTGGCCATGGGAGCTGCATAGCTGGTCCCTGTGCAGTAACAACGGTGGGCAACAAGGGCCAGGAGGAGCTGGTCATGGGGACATGCCCCCTTGAGCAGCCACACCACAGAACAGAGGCGGGAAGGTGGGTTGAGGACCCAGAGGACTGGACCACAGAGTGCTTGGGGAGCCCAGGTCCTTGGGCGATGCATGGTCCAGCCTCTGCCTGACCAGGGAGGGGATGAGGACTGTTCTTGGTAGGAACCCACAAACCCTCATGGGCACCATGCACTGACCAGGGTACCGGAGAGCGTGGACTGGGCTGGAATTGGGGCCCCCACTGGGCACCTCTGGGACCCCCTTTCTCTCTCACGGGGGGCTATGCCCATGCAGGGAGCCCAGGGAAGGCTGCGGGTCTCCCTCAACAGCACACCCCTGGCCGCACCCCACTCGGGGCTGGCTGCTAACCAGACGGCTCCTTGGTGCTTGGAAGTGTCCGTCCCTGATGGGCTCTTCCTCTCGCTGGGGCTGGTGAGCCTGGTGGAGAACATGCTGGTGGTGGCTGCCATCGTCAAGAACCGCAACCTGCACTCACCCATGTACCACTTCATCTGCTGCCTGGCCGTGTCCGACCTGCTGGTGAGCATGAGCAACGTGCTGGAGACGGCCGTCATGCTGCTGCTGGAGGCGGGTGCACTGGCTGCACGGGCCAGCGTGGTGCAGCAGCTGCACAGTGCCATTGACGTGCTCATCTGTGGCTCCATGGTCTCCAGCCTCTGCTTCCTGGGCGCCATCGCGGTGGACCGCTACATCACCATCTTCTATGCTATGCGCTATCACAGCATCGTGACGCTGCCCCGGGCGCGCCGGGCCGTTGCCGCCATCTGGGCGGCCAGCGCCTTTTGCAGCGCCCTCTCTGTCACCTACTACGACCGCCCGGCCGTGCCGCTCTGCCTCGCCAGCTTCTTCCTGGCCCTGGTGGCACTCATGGCGGTGCTCTATGTGCACATGCTGGCCCGGGCCTGCCACCACGCCCGCGGCATCGCCCGGCTGCACAAGCAGTGGCGGCCGGTCCGCCAGGGCCTTGGCCTCAAGGGCGCCGCCACCCTCTCCATCCTGCTGGGTTGCTTCTTCCTCTGCTGGGGCCCTTTCTTCCTGCACCTCACGCTCATTGTGCTTTGCCCTCAGCACCCCGCCTGCAGCTGCGTCTTCAAGAACTTCAACCTCTTCCTCACCCTCACTCTCTGCAACTCCATCGTGGACCCCCTCATCTATGCCTTCCGCAGCCAGGAGCTCCGCAAGACACTCAAGGAGGTGCTGCTGTGCTCCTGGTAGAGCGGATGGGCGGCAGAGGGGGTCCCGCCAGCCCTAGCTGGGCCTGGCTTCCTCCTCCCGTTTGTCAAAGAGGACAGACTCAGTGGTTTCCTAAGGGGAACAGCAAGAAGCTTCAGGCAGGACTCTTCCGAGGAGGAGTTGGGCTGGAGGAGGCTCAGAGGAGGCCCACAGCTCCTGCCCACTCCATAGCTGCACCCTCCACCTGGGCCTTTGGTTTGCCCCTGTTGGCTGGATGTGACATCATGCTGGGAAGAGTGGCAAGAGGCCCTGGAGGAGTGGCCACTCCTGCATCAGGAGGACTGTGACTGGCAGAGTCGTGCACCGTGCAGTGGCTGTCTCGGGAGTGCCTAGCTCTGAGGGGTGATTACGGAGCTGGGGCTCAGTATGCCCCCTTGGGCAGACAGCCTGAATTGGCTGGTGCCTGGCATTCACTGGACACTCAGGTGTTTGGTAATAAAGCTGCACTCTGGCACCCTCATCTACCCTGTCTTCCCACTGCCTCCTGAAAGCTTGTCAGAGAGGAGTGTGGAGGGAGGAGGGTGTGAGGATGGAGGGCTGAAGGAGGACAAGTGAGTCCCAGAGACCACTCAGACTGACAGTGGTGACAAACTGGTTGCCTGAGGACCCAAGGAGAGGGTCTTCCAGGGGAGAAGCATGGAGACCCCAAGTGGTCCCTTCTGATTCTGCTCTCTCGGTGGATACAAACAGATGAGGACACTTCTTGGGACAGAAAGCCCCACCCCTGCAGCCTCTCCAGCTCTGTCATGCAGGAGCTACCCCCGGCTGCCCTGAGACACCTTGAGGGTGACCTCCTGCAGGGCGCTGCCAGCTGGGGCCCACTGAGGCAAGGCCTTGATACCCAAGATGGGCTGAGGCTTCAGGCTGACCAGGGGCTGCAAGGGCTCAAGGGGTTTCCACGTCCAAGGGGAGCTGGTATCCAGTGGTGGGCCCTGCAGTCTGCATGGCCCCTCCTTGCTCCAGAGCCCACAGTAACTTCCGCACAGCCAGACTGCCCAACAACATCAACCCCCTTCCTGGTAAGAGCTCAGGGAGGCTGGGGGTGATTGTATCAGCCGCCCCAAGACAGGTCCCAACTCAGCTGGCTGCCTCCCTCCGCCCCTCCTGGGTCACTGCCCCACCCAGTCTGTTCTGACTGCCCTGGGGCTGGGAGCTGCTTCCCGGCAGATCGGCAGATCCGGTCTCTGCCAGGAGGTGGGATGGTGCGTCAGGCTTGAGCCAGCACCAGAACCCTCTGGGGACAGACAGGAATTGGCGTGGCCTGATGCCACTAGGAGGGAGGCAGGATGGGTGACCATGCAATTTCCTCCCCTGGTCAGACAAGGAGGCACCTGCAGCCAGCTCCCAGCTCTAGGGGAGAGCCAAATGCTCGCTGAGGACCCCCTGACAGGACAGGGAGGGCTCCAGGTGCCAGGAGCCAACCACAAAAAGCTACCTCCTCCTCGTGGATGCATTGTGGGGGAGGGGCATCTCCTGAGAACAAAAGAGCCCATTTCTCCAGTTACCACACAGGGCTGATTTTCCTGAGAGAGAAGAGAGGGGGACAGGCCCGGAGCCACACCCACCAGACACTCTCTTGTGTCCACCAAGTGGACAGGGGGTGGGAGATGGTGTGCCACACTTGTGCCTCATCTCAGCATGGGCCTAGAGTCTTCCTCAGGGACTTAGTGCTGAGCTTACCGAAGGGTTCTGATAAGTCAGTTTCATTGTCAAGCCCCAGACCCTGGGAGAACATTCAGCCAGCGTGTGTGTCTGTGTTCTGTGTGTGTCGTGTGTGCATCTCCATGTGGTGTCTGGTATAATGTTTGCATGTCTCTCCCTCCAGAAACTGCCAGGGTCCCTGGCTCCCAGTTGTCCCCCAAGGCTCCCACCTCATGCACACAGTCTCTCTACAGAAGTGGTTCCCCGCTGCCTCCCACCCCACCCTCACCCTGCCCCTTGTCAGAAGCCTGGGCTGGCCTCGCTTTTACCGAGAGTCCTAAGGCTTTCCGGGTACAGGTGACATAAGTGAGTCAGACACCACTCCCCACCCCCAGCTGGGGCGCTCGCTGGGCATTCACAGGGCGTGTGCGACCTCAGGCTACATCCGGACACAGGCACTCACTGCGCCCCGCTAGTGGCCAAGCGCTGTGCTGGGCCTGGGGCCAGTCCTGCAAAGCGCCCCCACACCAAGGTTCATTTGAGGAGGGAGGCGGGTGTTGTCTGCTGAGCAGACAGTGACCCCCGGACCCACGGGACCCGCAGCTGCCCCTCCCCACCGCGTGGCTTCCTTTCTTTCCAAAGGGTTCAGGGCCTGCCCCCGCCCCATGGGATCGCCATGCCACAGACTAGGGTTGGCCCCTAAACGCAGCAGAGAGAAGAAAGCCTCTCTCAGGGCCGCGGGGTGGGGCTGCTGGGGCGTGCGGTTGGAGTGCGATACAGCAGAAGGGAGCGGCTCTCGGCTTTCGCCCCGCCTCCGAGCTGGGGCGGGGTCCGAGGGCCGGGGGGCTTCTATTGTCCTCCCCGGAGCCAGTGGCCCCAAAGGCCTGCTGCTCGCAGCGCCGCCCCTCCCTCTGCGCGTGCAGCCCAAATCCCGGGGGCCCGGCCCGGCCTGGCCCGGGCGCGCAGGTCCGCCCAGGAGGGGCCGCGCCCGCCGCATTGTGGCCGGTCGGAGGCACGGTCGATGCGCGGTGCTGATGCTGCGGAGCCGGTGCCGCAGTGCGCGGAGGCCGCGGATTGGCCGCCCGGCGCTGACGCGAGCGGCCGGGCGGGGCCTCGGCTATAAGAGCGCGCGGCCGGGCCCCGCGCCTCCTCCGCAGCCACCGGGTCCGCGCCGTCCTGCCTCCGCCAGCGCCGAGATGAGGGAGATCGTGCACATCCAGGCCGGCCAGTGCGGCAACCAGATCGGGGCCAAGGTGAGGCTGCGCGCCCCTTCCCTGCCCACGCCCGCGCCGCAGCCGGCCCGCGGGGCTGCCGCGCGCTGCGGGCCGGGCCGCGAGCCGCACCCTGGCTGCCGAGTCGGGAACAAAGGGATGAGCCTGGCTCGGTATCTGGCGACCAGGGCGCTGGGATCCCCGCCTCCTCCCCGCGCCTCGTCCGCTCCTGCCCAGGTTACTTCGGGCCTGTCCGGGCGAGTGCTTGTCAGCCGCTGAGCCTCCGCTCCATCCGCCCCTCCGCCCTCCTCCTCTGGGTGCGGCTGTGGGCCCTCTTCTCTGGGACCCAAACCCAGCCTTCAGCGAGATGGAGGTGTTGGGCGGGTTTGGGTGGGGCTGCCCCTCAAAAGCCAAAACGATCCCCATCCCCCGCGGGCGGAGCGGGGTACCCTTACAGCGGCATAGGTCGCCCCCCGGCCCCCATCCGCGCTTGGAGCCCCTGGGTGTCCCTCACCCTATTCCTTTGTTGGAGGGTTAGGCCCGGATGAGAGGGTGACCTTGGCGCCGAACTCACCTCTCCCCAGAGCGCAGCTCCGCCTGGGCAAGGGGCGGGGGAAGGAGAGGAGGGATGACCGCGCCCACCCCAGGCTTCCCAGAGTCCTGGGAACAAAGCGGGAGCTGCATCAGTGGTGGAACCCGCCCTCCCTCCGTCGGCCCACCTCACAGATGAAGGCACTGAGGCAGGAAGGGGTGTTGGAGGTGGACCCAGGGGGAACCTCAGGAGGTGATTTAGGAATCCCCTCCCAAACCCATGAGGCAGGCATGACAGTGCCAAGTCCAGAGAGGCTGTCCCTTGTCCAAGGTCACACAGCAGGTAGCAGACAGCTGCTGGTGAGGCCTGCTGCCACCTGGGCTCTGCTCGGAACAATACCGGGTGGATACTGCTCCCTGCTCCAGGATGGTGCTGAGTGGCTCCCTGAAGGAGGAGGTGGGAGGAGACAGGTCCTGGAGGGGAAGGGGCCAAGGACAGTGTCCTCTGGAGGCTGTTGCCATGGAAACCAGGCAAGAACAAAAAGGCTAATTACGCGGGGGGGGGGGGGAGCCATGTGGCTGATGTGTAAATTGCAAGTGCATCTTTAGGGTGGAGGTGTCTCTGATGGGGGGTTTGCAGTGGGGAGGGGACAACTGTGCCTGTCCAAGGAGGAGGGATGTGAGATGGGGGTGGGAGGAAGGAGCCTCAAATCAAATCAGGGCGCCTGGGGCAGCTGAAGACAGCTGCCCTGACCAGGTCTCAGGGGCTGAGTGCTCATTAATGCGGTCACAAGGGCCAGGCCTGCCCTGAACATCTGCTCCTAGATGGGCCAGGGGTCACCGGGGAGGGAAGAGCAGGTGTCCCAGGGGCTGGGGTAGGGATGATGCAGTTATGCTCCTCCTGCCCCGCCCCGACTCCATGGCCACCAGGCAAGGTGGAGCAGTGGCTGGAAGCCAGCCCCACCCCAGCTCCTCCTCCATTCAGGGAGAGGGGCTGGGGCCCTGCTCACAGTCTTCTTGTTTTTAGTTCTCAGCGCTGGGATGCTTGGCTTTGCTTAGTGCTTTTTATTCTTTTTTTTTTTTTTTCCTTTCTTAATTTGTGTTTGTTAAGTAATATCCTTTTTAACAATTCATACAACAGAGAGGGGCATTTTTGAGGGGAAAAAAAAAAGTTATGTTTCTCCCTTGTCTATTGCTACCCTTTGAAGGAACCAAAGTTCCCTCCAGCCTCTCCTCACCAGCCGGTCCAAGACACATAAAGAAGGTGCTCACAGCCTGAGTGAGGAAGGGGCTGGGTAGATCTGCACCCTTCCATCCTATCGCTGGCTGTCCAGAGCTCAGCATCTGCCTGTGGGGACAGAAAGTTTCTTGGCCATGCTGTCCACTCAGGGATGGTGTGGGGTCCCTGGTGTGGATGCACAGAGGCTGTGCAGAGGACTAACTCGTCCAGGCCTGTCACCGCTTCAGCTGGTCTGGGTGGGCAGGGAGCCCACCTGTCCTTGTGTGCACCCGCACAGCATGAAGGTAGGGCTCCTGGTCCTAGGGTGGGGGATGTGGGGGAGCTCAGGGCAGGTGGAGCCAGGAGGGCAATGTTCTCTTGCGTGGTAACAGATGACATTAATAATTTGTAAAAATCATTGGTTGCTGTGAACTGGGCTCAGTGCTGGGAATTATACCCAGGGCTGTGGGTATTACCCCAAGATGAGGTCACACTGAGGGCAAGGGAAAGGCAGGCATTTAAGTCTAGGTCATGCTATGCAACGTGGAAGAGGCACTCTCCCACCAGGACCAATGAATCTGGGGCCCTTTCACCCCATCCCATGGTTCCTGCTTCTGCTGGCTGCCTGCTGGGACCCCTTGCCTGGGGGCGTGGTGTTCCCAACCCCCTCTCCTCCTGAAGCGCTCTTTGTCTGCGCCTGGCCTTCTACTGGCGGACCCCGAGACCTCCTCCTCCCCGGCTGCTGGGTGGGGCCCTTGGGGCGTGGCCCTGCCCTGATGGCCAATGGGAGAAGGAATTTTCTGGATTTTTTTACCCTACATTGCGTCACCAAAGGGTTCCACCGCAACCCCAGCAGTGGGACCGCGGGCGTGAGGACCGGGGTGGGGGCATTTCGGAAGGCTTCCACACCCCTCAAGTTGTGCCAGTGTGTTTTCTGAGCGCCGCCCTTCCGCTCCCCTCTCCCTGAGGCGCTAGAGTTGCGGGCGCAGCAAGGTCGTCAGCACCAAGGACAGAGGCCCCTGGGGCGGGACCGGAGGCACCGGCCCGGCAACCCGAGGGCGGGGCCTGAGCCACACCCCTGGGGCGGAGTCTGGGGATGCCAGTCGGCCCATAGCGACCCTTCCTTGGGTTTTCGAGGCAGGATCACTACGGACGTAGATTGCCCAACCTTAGCCTCCTGTGAAAGGTGAAAGGTTGAAACATTGCAGATAAGGCTGAAGTTTCCCTTCATCCACCCCTCTCCAGGAGGGGAGGGGCCGAGGGGCTGTGCCTCTGGGTGTCCTTCCTCTGTGTGGCCCTGTGTGTATCTCTACCGGAAGTAGACTTCACTCCACCGGTGCACTCTTACTCTGCCTGTCATTGTGCAGTTCCCTTGTTCGGTCAAGGACCTGCAGTGGAGGTGTTAGTATTGTCCCACCTCATTCTTTGCACTTGCTCCACAATGCTAACCACTTGACGTAGGTCCTGTTCTCATGTGCAGTTTACAGACGAGGAAACCGACGTCTGTGCTGCAGATAAGTTTCCACGAGTGTGTTAATGGCATGGTGGCAGGATCACTCTCTCCTGGCCCCACACACACTTCCCTGATGAATTGACAGGCTTGTGGCTGTAGGTGTTTCTGAAGCCGGAGGTTTGGGGTGCCACAGGGTTCTGGAGACCAAGGACCCCTACTGCCCATGTGATACAGCCAAGGAATAGACTAATGGGTCAGACCGAGTCACAGATGCCTCAGTGACATGTCTGCATTTTTGTTTTTTCTAATTACGAAATTAACATATGCTTAATGCAAAAGTAAGAAGCAGACTTAGCAATGACAAAAGGCACCCAGGGGAAGGAATGTGCCCCCCACTCCCCGCTGAGTACTGACCTCTGAACAGTCTCTGCTGATGAATTGCCAAGTGGTCATCTGTGCATTTTATAATAATTACATTGTTTGTACTTTTTTTTTTTTTTTAATTTATTCTTTTTCTTTTTTGCAAAGTTAATGCATGCACATGACAGGGAATTTCAGCAGCACCACAGGGCATATGGTGAAAAGACATCTCTCTCCATCCCTGGGAGCAGCTGCTCTGAGTGGGCTTTGTGCATCTGCCAGAAGACAGCCTCATATAAATAAGCACATGTGTTTTGTAACCTGCTTTCCTCCCTGAGCAATCATTTCACCAGCATGTGACTCACAAGTAGAGGCCCTTGGTGTTCCAGAGCCTCCACACCCATTAACTCATGGGAAAGTTACTCCAACGCTGAGGAGAGAGATGGGCAACCTCAGAAGCCACTGCCTCATGGCCAGTCAGCAGGGAAGGGTCTCGGGTGGTGGAGAGTACTCTGTGTGTGCTGTGCTAACAGTGGACCATGCCAGACAATTCCAATGCTTTGCAAGGGTTAATCCTCTTTTCTTACCATCTTGTCTGTGTCATCATCAGGTCTGTGTTACTGGTGACTCACCCAAGGTCACAGAGCTTGGAAAGGGTGGGGTCTGGCTCTGCATCCATGCCATGCTCTCTGCTGTCCCATTCAACAGAAATTGGGGGAGATCTAAGAAGTGCCCAAGAGCTTCTGCTGCAGGTTGGGGCCAGAGTAAGCACTTGGGGTCAGTGCCAGGCCAGCTCCCTGTGGACAGGCTGGAGGACCTCAGGTCAGCACCCCCTCCACACTTGAGGCCCCATAGTGTCTCTGCAAATGACTGGGGAACTCAAGAGCTGGGCCTTGGGGTCTCTGGGGTCCTCAGTTAAGGAGAGCCAGGGAGGCCCCACATCACTTTATCTGGCCAAGAATATGGGCCCGGACTCTGGGCTTTGACACCTGCCCCATCACCTGCTGTGGCAGCCCTCTGCCTTCAATGCTTCAGTTTCCTCATTTGAAAAGGGAGTGAGGACAAACCGCCCAGGTGGGTGCAGGGAGTGTGCAGGACAGGCTCTCCTTCACAGTCACAGGTGTGAGCCCCTCAGCCCTCACTGTCACCCTCTTCTGCAGTTCTGGGAAGTCATCAGTGATGAGCATGGCATCGACCCCAGTGGCAACTACGTTGGGGACTCAGACCTGCAGCTGGAGCGGATCAGTGTCTACTACAATGAGGCCTCCTGTGAGCACCTGTCCTGGGGGGTGGGGCACACTGATGGCCGGCCTAGTTCTCCACCCTGGGGAGGGAGGACACTGACAGCAGGGCCACAGCCTTACTACCCTCTAGAGGCCAGCAGTGCAACCTGAGGGTCGGTGACCAGAGTCTCAGAGCACATAGGTCCGAGGAGACCAAGGGGACTGAAGGACCTCTGGACAGGTGCACAGCTGTGGGCAGTCAGTGTGGGGGTGAGGGAGGGCTTGTAGGGCTGTTTACTGACTAGGGTAGAGTGCCTTCCATGAGGAACTGGTAAAATATGAGACCCGCTTCCTCATCCATCAGCTGATCTCAACTGTCCTTGGGTGTTGACTGTGAGACCCGCATTGTCAGATGGCAGATCTAGCATTAGGAGTTGACCCCAGGTTTCTGACTCTAGGTTTGACACTGAAGGCTGAGGGTCAGAGCAGAAGCCACAGGGTGGTGTGAGATTCTGGGGAATGAAGGAGGAGGTACGCTCTGTAATTCCATAACTGCCCTCTCCCCCCAGCTCACAAGTATGTGCCTCGGGCCATCCTGGTGGACTTGGAGCCTGGCACCATGGACAGCGTCCGGTCTGGGGCCTTTGGGCACCTCTTCAGGCCTGACAACTTCATCTTTGGTAAGTCCCTTGCCCTGCCCCAACCTCTGTTGTTAACCCCATCATGGGTGAACCCTGTCTACCATGGGGCAGTCATGCATCAAAAGGGCCAAGTCAGTTCAGCACCAAGGTCTTCCTGGTGAGAATCAGGGTTCTCTACAAGAGCAAAACAACTCAAGGGATTTCACACAGAACAAATGTAACAAGAGAAACGAGTGCTGCCAGATGCAGAGAGCTGGCTGAGAGGAATCGGTGCTCTCAGCACTGGAGCTGAGAGCACCCTTGGCACCTGCCTGCATGCTGGTAAGCCCGGCAGCTGGATGCTGGACACACAAAAACAGAAAAGAGCCTCTAGCCATCACACGTAACTGATAGGTATAAATTCACATCCAGAACCCAGCTAGCCACAAGGTAGTGTGGGGTTGTGGTTTAAGCTTCTGAGTGGCTAACCAGAGGGAAGGTGCCCTAAAGGGAAGTGGCTTTCCCCAGGCCCATCCCAATGTCAGTTGGGCCAGAACTCCAGGTCACAGTTCCCTGCCCAGACTCCTTATCACTGTGGTCTCAACACTCAGTACTGTTGGTAGAGTGGAAGCCATGCGTGATGTGGGAGATGTGTCTGGTGGGGGTACCCCCACTTCACAGAAGAGGGGCTATGGCTTCTGTAGGTCTGGCCTGAGATCCCTGACCCTCCCAGGTCTGTCTCCTCCTTGTCTTTGCCCATAGGTCAGAGCGGAGCTGGCAACAATTGGGCCAAAGGTCACTACACAGAGGGTGCGGAGCTGGTGGACTCAGTCCTGGACGTCGTGCGGAAGGAGTGTGAAAACTGCGACTGCCTGCAGGGCTTCCAGCTGACCCACTCACTGGGTGGGGGCACAGGCTCCGGCATGGGCACGCTGCTTATCAGCAAGGTGCGTGAGGAGTACCCCGACCGCATCATGAACACCTTCAGTGTGGTGCCCTCACCCAAGGTGTCAGACACCGTGGTGGAGCCCTACAATGCCACACTGTCCATCCACCAGCTGGTGGAGAACACGGACGAGACCTACTGCATCGACAATGAGGCCCTCTACGACATCTGCTTCCGCACCCTCAAGCTGGCCACACCCACCTATGGCGACCTCAACCACCTTGTGTCAGCCACCATGAGTGGTGTCACCACCTCCCTCCGCTTCCCTGGGCAGCTCAACGCAGACCTGCGAAAGCTGGCCGTGAACATGGTGCCCTTCCCCCGTCTGCACTTCTTCATGCCTGGCTTTGCCCCACTCACTGCCCGGGGCAGCCAGCAGTACCGGGCCCTGACCGTGCCTGAGCTCACCCAGCAGATGTTTGACGCCAAAAATATGATGGCAGCCTGTGACCCACGCCACGGCCGCTACCTCACTGTGGCCACTGTCTTCCGCGGACGCATGTCCATGAAGGAGGTGGACGAGCAGATGCTGGCCATCCAGAGCAAGAACAGCAGCTACTTCGTGGAGTGGATCCCCAACAACGTCAAGGTGGCCGTGTGCGACATCCCGCCCCGCGGCCTCAAGATGTCCTCCACCTTCATCGGCAACAGCACGGCCATCCAGGAGCTGTTCAAGCGCATCTCGGAGCAGTTCACCGCCATGTTCCGGCGCAAGGCCTTCCTGCACTGGTACACGGGCGAGGGCATGGACGAGATGGAGTTCACCGAGGCCGAGAGCAACATGAACGACCTGGTGTCCGAGTACCAGCAGTACCAGGACGCCACGGCCGAGGAGGAGGGCGAGATGTACGAGGATGATGAAGAGGAGTCAGAGGCCCAGGGCCCCAAGTGAAAGCCTCACTGGAGCTGGGGGGCCATGGGGACGGGGCAGCAGCATCTGTCCCCAGGGCCCTGATCCCCAGTATAGTCCTCAGCTCTGTGCCCGCCCCCCCCAGCTGCCAGCCACTTTGCCTGGGGTCCCCGAGTTCTTGTCACTCAGTATTCATGCTGGCCCCACCCATTGAGCCCCCAGTTCTACCCTTTGACCTCCATTTCTGTGTTGCTCCAGCGTCTCTTTGTTTTAATGTGGCTTCAGCCCTGACATCTATGGTTTGTGTTGTTTTTTTACTGGTTTGTTGATTTTTATTTTTCTTTGGATACTTAATAAAGTTATTGCTGTCAGATATCCCTGCCTGGTGCTAAGATTTCTGGGAAGTTGGGCCTGAGGGATGAGGAGGGGCAGGCCAGGGGGCTTTGTCTCCCAGGCTGGTGGCCTGAACAGGCAGTGCTTGGTGCCTAGAGGGTGTCCTGGAATTGGGAGCCCTCAAGGAAGGATGGCCCAAGCCCCAGCCCCCTCTTACCAGACCATTACCATGTGGCCTCCTGTTACAGCTTCTGGGTGACTCAGGGACAGTCCTGTGCTCAGTCCCTCATTTCCCGTCGGGAGGTCTGACACCAGTGTCCTCTCCAGAGTTCCTTGGTTGATGTGTGTTAGATGTTAGAAGACAGAGGCTGATATCAGACCTGAAGCCAAAACTGGGGAGGGTCCTTGAGCATTCTCCCACAAAATGGGTGTGTCCAGCAGGGCAGGGACAGGGGCCTCAAGACCAGGCATGGGCCTCAGCCAGTGACAAGCTGGCTGGAAGTGCCCCCTGGAGTCCTCTGCAGCTGCAGGGGTATGTCACCAACTAAACTCTACTCAGTGCCCCTCTTCTGCAGAGAAGAAAACCCAAGGGCTGTGACCTTCCAGGGCCTGGTTCCTCTCTACCTACCTCTCACTGTACCCAACCCCCAATCCAGGAGGCTGATCAGGAAGAGGAAGATGGTAGGGACACCTTCTCCTGGCTTCCTTCCTGCCTGTGGTTTCTGAGAACAAGGTTTCTCAACACTGGACTTGGGGCTGCAGTGGACTGGGGTGGGGAGGAGTGGTCAGATTCCAGGGGCCTGAATCCTCTAAGGGGCCAGTGTCTGGGATCCCAGCCCTAATCCAGGCTGTCCTGGGTCCCTGAGCCATGAAGGGACACCAGGGGCTGCTGCTTCCAGCACCTGTTCTGTGCCTGTGCCACCAGTGTGTGGAAGCCTGAATTGCTCTGCCCAGGAGCAGGCATGTTGGTGGAGACTCTCACCCCCACCCCAGACATCATGAGGCAGAGACAAGCACACTGTGTGTGAATCTGACTCTTAGAATTGGTGAGCATGACGAAATAGTCCCTGTCTTACCCCAGTAGGTGTTGGGTGTTCTGTTATGCAGTAACACCACGTAATTAGAACAGACCCCTTAGGGGCAGTGCCCCAGGATGGTTGGTGCCAGGGTTCGGAGCCTGCCTGCAGCTGTAGTGAGAGAGGACATGCAGGCTTCCTCAGGTCTCTCGGGAAGACTCTGGAACGTACATGCCAATCCCTCACCCATGGACAGAGGGCTTTCATGGCCGTCACCTCAGGAGGATTTCCAGTGGAAAGCTGAATCCTGAGGACATGCCCTGATGAGAAGTGGACACGTGCTCAGCCCAGGTTCTCAGGCTGTCACTTCCCAACATGGGGGAGGGGGGAGGTGAGGGAAGGATAGCAGCCCTCCAGCCACCCCTGCCTGCGATGGGATGGTGGTGTGGGAACAATCAGTGTCCTTAACTGGCAAAGGAGAGATGCCTTCAGGTGACCATCAGCAAGAAATAAATAGATCAGTATTGGCTGACAGTAAATACAACTCCAGTGCCAAAATGGGGAGGCATGAGGCAGAACATGGCATAGTCCCAAACTGACACTCTCACCCCCCAGAGGGGGTCTGCTTGGCCCAACCCCATCCCTCATGGAGGACCCTATTTGATTGGCTGTTCTGCTTTCAGGATCCTCTCTGAAGGGCATTGTCCATCCAGACCAGCTCCCTGAGCCCCGACTAGGTGTGAGGCCAGCTCTTGAGAGGAAAGGGGCACAGGGCATGTCAGCTGGAGAAGGCCAAGGCCAGACTGGGATGGAGGCACTTGGCTCCCAGCTTAGCCCTCAGAGACAGGCAGCCTGAGACCCTCCCACTGCGGTTGACTCCTTCCCCTCTTGGTGGCGCTGTTTCTCTGACTGCAGAAAGCAGCTCCCTCCTGCATTGTAGAGTTGGGCTTCCATCTAGACTTCACGTGAAAGAAAAGACTTCTGCTCCTGACATTTTTGGAGATGACTTGCCTGGGTAATACCAGATGTTGCCGATGAATGACCCACTTGTTACTGCCTCCAGAAGAAGGCTGTGTGTGCATGAGTGTGTGTGTAGGGTCTCTCCAAAGAAAGGAGCAGCCAAGGCAGCTGTGGGAACTGGGGGAGGGTGGAGTCAGGATTGGCCTGATGTGAAGACCTCACCCTCAGATCCAGGATGAGAAGTGATGCATCTTTTTCCTGGGAATGGCAGAGTGAAGACCGACTTGGAAACCCCACCTGAAGCAACCGGGGCTGGGAAGGAAGGCACTTCCCTGTGTCTGGGAGGCAGACAGGTGGCCCAGGTCCTCCAGGCAAGCGTGGATGCCTGTGGATGCTGTTAGGACTGAAGAGCACGGCTTCTCAGCCTGTGGTTTCTGAGAACAAGGTTTCTCAGCACTGGACATGGGGCTGCAGTGGACTGGGGTGGGCAGGAGTGGTCAGATTCCAGGCCAGGTTGGTGATGGACAGAGCAGCTGGGGGGAATGAGAGGAGAGGAGGGGTCAGGGAGGAGACTGTGTTGACACTGGGCGGTGGAGAGTGGGGTTTCTTTGCTGAGCTGCGGAAAGCATGGGGGAGCAAATTCTGGGGAGAGGGCCATGTCCAGTTGGATGTATTGGATTTGAGGAGCTTATCTGAGTTGCCCAGAATGCAAATGGACATCAGTACTGGTATTTTGGGGAGCGGTCCCGGGAGGACACCACTGAGGAGCCTTTGACAAAGGGATGTTTCTGGAAGTCATCCCCTGGAAGCCAGCACCAGCCAGGGAGCATGTGCAGAAGGGGGGAAAGGAGCAAGGGACACGCTGGTGCCGAGGGGTGGGGAGAGGAGGAGGAGCAGCCCATGGGGAAGGAAGAAGAGAGAGACCAGATGCAAGCAGGCCTAGAACCACAGGAGCAGGGGTGCCAGGCTCCCACTGGGTGAAGTCTCCTTCCAGGTCTGAAACCACAGAGACAGAGCGTGGGTGCTGGCAGGTCCCCAGACCTGGTTCCCTCCTGCTCTGCCCCTGATTAGCAGTGGGATCTCAGAGGTACAGCCCTGAGCCCCCTTTCCCGTAGGAGCCCCTCCAGCAGGCTTTGTAGAGGGTCTGTGGTTAGTGCTGACCATGGAGGCCCACCTGAGGCACTGGTGTCTGGTGGCCCCTCCGAGCAAGCCGGGCTGACTCCAAAGGCGGCCAGAGCGGCGCATGATCCGCCTTCTCAAGAGAAGGGAAACTGAGTTCCAGGCTTCAAGGCGCCGCACAGCCCATCCCTGCTGCCTGTCCGCCTCCATGGATGCAAACAAGGTAATCCCCGCATGTGGTGGGGGGCCTGCTCCTTCCAGTGAGGAACAACTGGGGAGCAGTGGGTGTGGGCCCCAAAGTCCCACCCTCTGCTTAGCCACCGACCCGCTGGTAGCCTCCTTGGGCTTCAGTTTGCTCATCGGTCAAATGTGGTCGGTGGCAGCGCTTCCCTGCGGTCTGTGGCACGCAGCGCCGCAGCCCCTTCCGGCTTTTCCCTCCAACCACCGGGTTTTCTGAAATGAAATACCCCCTTTTTTTCAAGCGTCGGTTCGATCTTAACCCGGGCGTTTCCGATGCGGGACCTCTCGGAAGCGCAGGCCCCAAGTGTCGCAGTTCCGGCGGGCGCAGTGGGAGCGCGCGGCCCGGCCCGGCCCGTGTGTCAGGAGCCTCCAGGCCGCAGGCGGCAGCAGCGGGCGGCCGAGCCCGATACAAAGTAGCCGGGGCGGCGGCGGGTTACAATGTAGCAGGCGGCGGCCGGCTGGTGAGCGGGGCCCGGGAGGCGGGCGGGCGGGCAGGGCCGGGCGGCGGGGCGCTTGGCTGGCCGCCGGGCGGGGAAGCCCCGGTCTCCGGAAGCCGAGGGTGGGGTTCAGGCCCCCGGCCGCCCGCGGGCGCCCACCTTCCGCTTCTCCTCCGGGCGCGGTGGGAGGGCATGACCTCAGCCGCGCCCAGGGCCGCCATCCGGCAGGCTTAGCACCCCAACATCGCTCTGCCGCACCCCAGCCCGGGAGACAATGTCACCCATCCGCTGTGGGGTCCGCGAGGCGCCGGAACGCCTTTGGCTGTGCGACCCTGGGTGCGCGCTGGGCCACTCTGAGCCTCAGTTTCCTCGTCTATGAGCCTGGCGGGCATGGGGAGACCTGCCCCTATGAAACGCACAGACAAGATGCCCAGAGCACATACGTGTTGTTATTGCCGCGAACGTGGAGGGAGGGACCTTTCCAGGACTGGGCCCTGACTCAGGCCCTAACCGCAAAGCCTGGTGCTCAGCTTCCGGGGTGGTAAACCGCCCTTAAAGGCAGAGTGACCCTGGCCCCAGCGTCCCACTGGGCCCCAGCAGAAGGCTTCTTTCCAAGTAGGAGCAGAGGATGGACACTCCATCTCCCCAGGGGCTCTCCCCCAGCAGCTGGGACGCTGACACCACCTCTTGGCAGAGGCACTGTGGGCTGGGCTGGGGAGGCTGGGAGTCCCCTTGAATCACCAGGTGCTCTCCCCTCCCCCTCAGGCACCCTGAGGGGTGGGGACTGCTGCTCTCTAGAGGAGGTGGGCAGAGAGTCATCTGTGGGTTTGGTTCCTTGCTCTCTGAGGCCAAGCCCAGAGACTTCTGGGCAAGAGCTTTCTGGGGTGACCCTGGCAGGGGTGGGGAGACCCCACACATGGCCTCCCCCTTGTGCTGG